TTTAAGTCTGATCATAAAGAATGAAACCCTTAGATGTCTTATATAACAGCAGTACTAGAGCATCTTTTTGCTACCATAGGGCTAAGCTTTCTCTGGAGGGCCTAGAAAGTTCTGAATGTATTAGTTAAATGTATTTAGGTTAACACATGTCAGCTTTGAGAGCGTACAGCAGTTTCTATGTTACATGGTAGAAAATACTCTTTACTATGTCAAAAGTAAAACAGGTTTAATTACTCAAAGCAGAATCAACATACAACTTATAGAAATGCTTCCTGAGTTAGTGTAGGAGCTTGGAAAAAAATGTAAAGGCTAGTGAAGGACAGAGTGCTAGGAAAAAATAGGTACCAGGAACAAGCAGTGCTGAAGGCTAGTTGGGATAAGAAGAACTGTTGAGCTTGTGATCCTTAATAAAGATCAAAATAAGCCCTGAAACAGATGGAATGTCCAAAACGCATTTCCTGTTCTTGAACACAGGCATGAAAATTTTCAAGTCCTTATGTCAAAAGATGTTAGGTTACACAATAAAATATGTGCCATTATTTTCTATGCATGTCCTCCTTGATTATGCAAATCAGTTTAATGCTACATATATCTAGAGATAAGTTTGTGAAAATTTAACTCACATTGCTGTTAATTCAGTTGCCTCTAGGACTCGTTACTGAAGTCCCCTGATAACTTAAGGAGGTTTTCTAGGTTTCTGTATACGTGAACCCATTGGCTTACACCACAGGGGTAGAGTCCTAAGTAATCCCTGTCCGTAACACTACACTAGCAAAGGAAGCAGTAGAAGGAAATGGCAATGCTCCATAAAACCTTTCAATTCCATAATCCCAGTCCCAAGGTCCTGTCCTCATCTTTGCATTATTTTTCACAAGGATTAAGTAGCCTTGACAAAGCCTGCTCTAAGAACAGTTCGGAAGGAGGCAATTTGTGGATCGATGCACATAGGCTAAAAATAATAAGGGATTAAAAAAACCAAACAGAATTCTGTCCAAGCTCTAATAAAAAATTTACATATAATATCAGCCCTGACCATGCTTACCTTTATCTTGACAAGAGACAGTTATATTAGTTAGGACTCTCACGCCATGAGCCGCAATGCCCCTGTTATTATGGTAACAGCACTCTTGGGCTAATTTGACTAAATCAGAGGATCTGGGGGAAGAACTCACATTTCCTAAACAAGCAGAGAGAAGCAGTACAGACTGTAATTCATTCAAACACTTCAAAAGCAGTTCAGCTTAAAGGTTCAGTTTTCTTAGTTTTCTGAGAAAATCTCTAACAATAAACTTTAACGAAATTTCCTACTTTAGGTTACATCATCAATATTTATCACCATTTCTCTTCCCCAGTCAAGGTACTTAGAAAACATATGTGCCAATAGTTTTGTAATGAATGAGATCTAAAATAAATATAGGACTTTCCCATAAAAATATTAATAAAAATTGACTAAAAAACAGTACAAAAGCCAAAATAACTATAGACTGTATCCTGGGAGTTCAAATGTATTCTGATTAAAATGGAGGTCAATAGAGGTCTCTTGTCAGATAAAACCATACGTTCAAGACAGGAGAGAAAAGAGAAACAAAACCTTTAAGTTTCCCTTTTTCCCACCTCAAATTGCTGGCATACATTTATACCTCAAAAGGTTTACATAAGAATTCATAATTTTAGAGCTGGAAAGGATTTGGGGATCATCTGATTCAACACTCTATTTTTACAGAAGAAATCAAAACCCAAAGATTTTAAGTATCTTGTCATCAAGGTTATAAAACTTGTTAGTTGTATGCTGCTCTTGTGCTTTATACCTTAAGTTCTATGCTACATTTTGCAGCAATTTTTAAAATTCACATTTGAAATTTTGTAATGTTAAGCCTTGTGTTATGGTATTTTAATTTACAGTAGAGAATCTCTCAGTAATAAGTGAGTAAGCTTCAAGAAGAATAAGGAGATTAAACCTTGTTCAACCTTTCAGAAGAGTCTCCCATTCCTTTCTTCCTTTCCTCTGCTTAATTTTCCATGATTCTTGTCAACTTCAACCTTGTCTCTCATACCAAGGGTAACCATATTTTTGAGGCTGAAGGGACCCTATTAATAACTATTCTGACAGACATAAACCAAGACTATCCTAGGCAGTGTGGGCCATGTGGTCACTTTATTGATTTCTGGTTTACCATAAAACCACAAGCTTAGGTGAAAGCCTATGTTTTCAAGACAGGCAATGCATTAGAAAAATGAAACTATATGTTCATTTTTTCAAAACAATGAGAATTGTATTAATATTCTTTCTATTCTTTTTCTTGTCCGTGTGATACGAACAACGCAAACTCATCTATATGTTTACAAACATGTTTTATAAGTTGCTTTTTTCTTCTCAAGA